CATGTACATAATATAGATGCTGTTGTATAGAACTGAATGAATTGGGTTGCTATGCTTGAATGAGTAGCTAAATGGAAATATTTGATGGGTACTAAGAGTTCATTAAATGCCAGAGCAAATTTACGAGGGAAAGAAGGGGGCATCATGTGTCTTGGGAAGGTCAAAGCAGATTGTTTCTTTAACTCCCTAGGAAATCAGTGTGAAGGAATCAACTGCAAACTCAGTATCAGATACTAAGTGGGTCTTTCCCTCCCTTCCTTTCCCAGAAATATGAGCACTAAATTTCAAAATCTACTCAGGTGAAAATTGCTTTGCAATGAAACTTATTACATTGAAATTTTCACTGTTAAAAGATATTTGTGATATTTTTAAATACAAACTTTTACATCAGTAGTCAGCTGCCTGACAATTGAATTTGGTAAGTCAATATATTTTAAAGTATATTTTGCCCTCCAAACAGAATTGTTTTTAAACAATTGGGAGGACTTTTTTTGTTTAAATAACATTTTTATTGTTATTGTAAAAATCTTGCTTGACCCCATATTATGCCATGATGAATTGCTGAGCCTTTATAATACAATGAAAGCTTGTTTCATGCATAGTCATGGAACATAGAAATGTTCTTTAAACTGAACTATTCATAAGAGGTTTAATGAGTTTCACGGCTTTTGGCATGATTGTCACATAGTTAACCCTGCCATTTGGAGTTTATAATACCATTTTATGTATTGTGATACTAAAGGAAGTTGTTTTGCTTTATTTTAAATTGAATTATTAGACTAACTTATATTTGCAAATTTCTGCATTTTAAATGTGGCTGTTTGAAAATAAAAAATACAGAATACAGTTTTATGGATAATTTTCTAGCTGAATTTTTCACAGTATTCTGATTCTGAACCAAATAACTAATGGTAAATATGCAAAAACTGTGGTGCATAGGTAGCTAATATTAAAGAGAAAAGGATGTCTGTGTGGAATTAACAGTTACACAAATTGGGTAACAATTTTCAGGGCCTTTACTATAGCTTTGTGTAGAATGTTATTAGACAGTTCTAAAATACTAGAGTCAAATGTTGCTGTCATTTAGTATTTTAGACTTGAAATATGTTTAACATAGGACTAAGAATATATATGTGGTTTTTTCTTTTTTTACAGATAAGATTCTCTTAACCCACCATTAGTAGCAGCATACATGGGATTTTTTTTTTTTTCTCTTTCATTATTGGAGATAGATATGTTTTCATCCATCTACCACCTTGCCAGTACCCTATCTTGTAACCAGCGGGATGCATTGTAAGGAAGCTGTCTGCAGTTAGGAGTGCAGTCTGGGTCCACGGAACAAATCTAAATTAATTGGCCCTTGCAGAGATCAATCCTAGGACCTTGGCCTTATTAGCATGGTGCTTTAACCAACTGTACAGAATAATACCATCAATAGTCTACTAACGCATTTCCTAGATCCCAGTTTTTCTTGAATGATTAGGAATGGTGGGGAGATGGGTGGGGAGATACTCTACATGATACTTCTCCCATCTTCTGAAGATTATAAGAAAAAATAAAATTGAAGTCACTTGAATTAATGTGTTGTCATTGAGTCTTAATTGAGAAGTTTTCCTGCACAAATTTTCTGATTATATGTTTGGATAGAATTTAAACAAATTTTTTCAGAGTTCTGGCTATTTTATTTTTCTCCCTTTGGTGAACCTGATAAGGTGTCAGAATAAATTATATCCTTATGATGGATAAAGAATCAGTGGAGGTAAAAAGCTTTAAGTGAACTAAAGCTAAAATTTGGGTCTCAATTTTAGTTCTTTTGTCATTTTCAAATATAAAAAGAACACAATAAAATATTTTACCCACACACTCATGCAGATGCGTATGCATTATGTGTAAGAGCTTCAAGGTGAAATGCGATATTGTAAATGGGAATGACATTACAAAATGATTTTCAAATGACTGGGAAAACTCAAGTTTAGAATGAATTGTAAAATAGAGAACATTTGAGCATCTGCATATTTACCTACTTAACTAAAGTGAACTTTTAAAGTTGTAACCACCTTAATTTTCCCTAGCTTTTTCCATTCTTGATAAGATTCTGAAACTATTAATATAATGCTTCTGTCAAGGTGGGGAAAGGAGCCAAAGAAGTATTAATACATAATCTGTGATAGTAATATGTGTTTTCCGTCGATTAGAATCTTTACTTTCTGGGAGTGTAGTTTTTTTTACCCTGCATTTTATTTTGCATTATTTATCTACATTAGATGGTTGAGGCTAATAGCATCTTTATTTGACCATGTGAAGGGTGTTTATAGTGGTTTAGTTGGAGTACTGTACTTTATTAAACATTGAGTGTTAAGATGTTTGGGGCACTGTGCTGAATACGTTTAATTACCACAACACATTGATAGAACGGTGGTTCTCTGTTTTAGGATACTTTTCTAGAAAATATAATTTGAATAAATTACTTCCAGAAGATAGAAAATACATAGAGGCCAAAACAAGTGAAAATAGAGAACATTGTCCAAAATTATCTCCTACCTAAAATAACAAACTCGTGGATAGGATTCAAGCCTGAACTGTGGAAATGAATCATAGACTTTGTTTTGAAGGAAATGACCTTCACTCTCTCTCTAGCGATTCACGGACCTGACAGTAAAAATACACTAGAGGATCACCTGTACCCCATTGGAGGGTTGGAAGTGGATGCTGAAGGATGCTTTCCTGGAAGTAGAACTAACTGAATCAAGGCTAGTTGCTCATTCTAGCACAGTGTTCATGGAAACATTAATATTTTCAATCCCTTGAAGCCATACACTACTGTTTAGTCCTCCCAGATGAGGATTATGTTGATAGTACTCTTCATGTTAAATAACTTCCACTAATCCTAATTATCTGATACTCTCTCTTCCTTGGCCATTTCCTTCAAGGTGTTTGGGCCACTAAAACGTACCTTTTAAACTTCCAATATGATAATTTCCCCTTTGTTTCCTTATGAGAGTTTCAGCACCGTCACTTAGCAGCTTTTGTCAATGACAGTGTGAGGGTTAAGACTGATTGCTAGAGCACAGAATGAAATGAAAGAAAGAGGACATGGAAAAGTAAACACATGCACAACAATTCAGGACCTCACAGAAGAGGACTTGACAGTGGTTTGTGTGTGCATTTTGCTGAGCTGGCACTCAAAGCATGGGGTGGGCATAGGGGGGTATATACACAGAGTCTAGTAATATGTATGTAAAAGTACATACTCTTCAGGAAGGCATTTCCAAGGCAGTGTAACCAGTGCTGCATGGGACAGCTTTAAATGAGCTGTGTGTTTTTTGTGAAGGATGATTGTGAGACAGTAGGGGTGTAGTTTGTTAATACTCTAGACTGCATAGGCAAATTGGGCAGTAAGATGAGCAGGAGACTTTTTTTAAAAGTCAAGAGACCTTTGGCCAGGCGGGGTGGCTCACGCCTGTAATCCTAGCACTCTGGGAGGCCGAGGCAGGAGGATCGGTCATGGTCAGGAGTTCGAAACCAGCCTGAGCAAGAGCGAGACCGTCTCTACTAAAAAAAAAAAAAATAGAAATTAATTGGCCAACTAAAAATATATAGAAAAAACTAGCTGGGCATGGTGGCGCATGCCTGTAGTCCCAGCTACTTAGGAGGCTGAGGCAGAAGGATTGCTTGAGCCCAGGAGTTTGAGGTTGCTGTGAGCTAGGCTGACGCCACAGTACTCTAGCCCAGACAACAAGAGTGAGACTATGTCTCAAAAAAAAAAAAAAAACAACTTTTAATCATTGTTGTGCCTTGATCTATCTGTGTAGCCTTGTTCAAGTCACTTTTCCTTTCTGAGCCTTACCTTTTTCATCTGCAAAACGAGGTTAATAAAAATTGCTATGAATGTCAAGTCATTTGAGGTAATTTGTACACTGTAAAGCAGTAAACATTTTCTTGTTTGGATTTTAGAAGTGGCACAAAGGCAAGCCACAGCAGAGTTGGACAAGTGCTGGAAGCCTCATTTCATGCAAAGCAGAGCATGTAACAGTGGACTTGCAGACAATATAGTATCTTTCAAAGAGTTGAAGAAGATATGAAAGAGTCGGACTATCTGGCTTTAATTGACCAGTAATGAATACTAGTTAATGAGGTACAAGTGATAGGAATTTTGTAAGGAAAAGATTACTTATCACAGAATTTGTGTTCACTGACAAATAGCTTGCAGAATATTACCCAGCCCTTGCCCTAAACTTCAGGAACACAGAATTTAAAAAGCATGATTTAAAGAAGTGTGATTCCGTTATCAGAGACCCTGAAAGGAATAGAACATTTTCAAGAAGGTCTAAACAGCACTGGTGTATATTGCAACAAATGAGAAACAAACAATAGGAAGAAATAGCATCCCACCAAAGTAAGGGGCTACACCGAGGTGGGAGTCTCAGTTTCTCACTACCAAGCTGTTGGTTAGTCATGAACAGGAAGCTGGCTGGCCTGCGAGGCAAAAGCAAAGTCATGGCCGATGTGAGGCTGGCGTGTTGCAGCCAGGTCTAATAGGCAGGAGGAAGGAATGCATATCTGTGTGCAAGTGGTGGGTTTTCTCTCATTTGTTTCCTTACATTTATTTTTCTTTGACCATTTCTCTCCCTTTTTATATTTCCTTTGCTTTCTTCCTCTTGAATGACTATATATATGTGCCATTGCAGGTGTACATCAAATGAAAACAACTGATTGATGGTATGTGATGCCCTGCCTCTCATGTCAGTTAGGTTTATTTAAGTGTTTTTTAGTATCACTATTTAAGAAAAATTCAAAATAAATTGCTCTATCAGGAGACGATTTGGGGACCCTTAGATTCGTTTGTAAGGGTTCTTTTTTTTTTTTTAATACAGGGTCTTGCACTGTTGCTCATGTGATCGATCCTCCCACCTCATCCTCCTCAGTAGCTGGGACTGCAGGCGGGCACCACCACACCTGGATAATTTTTCTTCTTTTATTAAATAGAGACAGGTTATGTTTGTTACCCAGGCTGGTCTTGAACTCCTGCCTCAGCTTCCCAAAGTGCTGGGATTACAGGTGTGAGCCATTGTGCCAGGCCTAGTTTATAATCTTGAAAGCATCTAGTTCACAGGAGCATAAAGCTGCCTCACCCATAAGCAGGTATGAGTAAATGAACAGTGTTACAGGGTAAAATAGGCATTAGGAATGCTATTTGAAGGTATTAGAAATGGTGGTGGAGATTGAATGTCATTAATGCTCTGATCCAAGAGCCTGGAAATATCTGCACTCAACCCCAACCTGCACTCGCCATAGTCTTCTAAACAAGATTTTCAAAGGAGACACACGAGAATCAATGGCTAGGGGAAACAAGGACTTCCTTTGTGCTGCACCTGTTTCCCAAACCCTAGTATAAATGTGGACCAGAGGATGTGGTTGGGACTAAAGGCCTCTAGAACTATTTCCTTCTCCTTGGCACCTTACCACCGCCTGGCTGGCCAGGGCATCTCAATTCATGAGAATAGAATGAACAAAGAGTTAGGATGACCAGAACTCATCAATGAGTGAGTGGGCCCCAGCTCTTTTCCTATCCCAGTTTCATAGGAACAAAGAAAAGAAGCAGCAAAAAAAGGACATGTCCACATGTGTGGCCTATTAATGGAAGAAGGCCTTACTCATTGCTAGATGTGGTTCATTAAGTATTCTATGAGCTCATCAATCAGGTTGGCAACTCATGGGGGCAGGGAGCAGGGCTTGTGAATATTTCTCAGGTTCTTTGGGACCCTACCTCCCTTTACTGCCACCACAGCCCAAGCCACCTCCAGATCTTGCCTGTGTTCCTGCAAGTTTGTGCACATCCACTCTTATTGGCCTCCAGTCTTTGCTCCAGATAACAGCCATGTGAAGCCCTTCAGAAGCTTTTCTCAGTTGCTATTTGCATAAACACGAAGCACCTTACCTTGGCCCTGCATGGTCATCTGCTGCCCACATCCCAGCCTGCCCACAGTCAGCCTCTTGTCCTCTCTGCTCTTTGTCTGCAGGACTGCTTTCAGCTCCAAATACTTGGATGTGCTGTTTTTGGCCAGCAAGGCACTATTTTCTCTCTATGCTCTATTAAACTCCCCACGCCCACCCTATCCTCCAGATTTCAGCCCTAGCATCATCTCAGAAAAGCTTATCCTGATTTCCCTGTTTAGGTAATTTCAACCATTTCGGAGTCTCTGATCACCCTGTATGATTTTTCTACCATAGATGGCTATGTAATGTTGTGCTTCTCAGTGTGAGAATTTGATTATTGTCTCCCCCACCTGTCCAGAGCAGTCTTGCTCCCCACTGTGTGTTCAGTGCTGGCCATGGTGCTTGGCGATCAGCAGATATTTGGTGACCGTGGTTGAAGGAGAGAATCCAGGCCCTGTGAGTTATATCCCAGGGTGCAAAGAGTCAGCTTGCAGGCCCTGCAGAAGAATCACTGCCAGGGAGTTTGAGGCTTTGTGGGTAACAGCAGTGGGACCAGAATACTGGTCATGTGATTTTCAAAATGGGGCATGGGGCAGAATTCTGAAAATAGCTGATCTGAATTTCAGTCCCCAGGAAAATTCTAGAATGTATAACAACTTTGTCCGGTAGGCTTGCCAGGTCTTGTCATTAACTCCATGCTACAAATAAGGAAACTGAGGCTCAGACACATCAAGGTCATATAATAAAAAGTGAGAGTTAGGACTCACATTCAGACCTGAATTCTCTCATCTATGCTCTTGAAGGTGTGACATTGGGTCTTCCCTAGATGATATTTAAGTAAATGCTGGATGCTAATATCATATTGTTGTCCCAGTCCAGTAAGGCCGCCACTGTCATAAAATAAGCTGGACTCTGTTTTGTAGGCTCTTTTCTGCATCACATATGTTCTTATGCACCTACCAGGCCCTGGCCAGTGACAGATGCCAGGTGGCTGACAGAGAGAGAAGGACTTTCTCTTGCCAGAGGGCAAACCCCCAGAGTCAACAAATGGCTTAGATCCTGGAGCAGAACCTGCTTGACAGGAGCTGGGGACACCTGACAGCAGGTGTCCCCAGTGGCGGCCCCTCCCTTTCCACCCAGCCCTGCCAGGAGCCAGGGCAACAGGCTGGTCCCTGTGGGGTCCCCCCCTCCTCAGGTGCCCTCAGACTGTGTGCGGGGCTCATACTTGGCCCAAGTTTGCATCTCCTGACTCATCCCTTCCAATGCCCAGCAAGGCCTGGCAGCCCTTGGGACAGACTTCCCCCGTGGATCTGGGGCTCTGGGAAGCACACTTCAAAGTCCAGGAAAACCTTTTCCTGTCTTCTCTTTTCACCTGGATTAAGGAGGCTGCATTGTGTAGAGGAGAGAGCCTGGTATTAGAACCAGACCTAGATTCAATCCTGGTTCTACCCTCAGAGCTAGCAAACCTTTCTGAGCATGTGCAAAATTCCTGTGTTTTTTTTAAGAAATAGGTAGGCATGCCTAGGAGAGTGCATCACCATGACCAACTAAAAAATTTATATACACTATATATATATATATAGTGTATATATATATATATATACACTACAGTGTATAAATATATATATGTATATGTGTGTAGTAAGTTACCTGTGCTCCTTCAGTGATATATTCACACCCTCTCCTTGTCACTGAAAATGGTAACTACAGTAAGACACCACAACTACCAAGCTGTATTTTATCTTTCCAATGCTTGGGAGAGGGGGGAAACCCTGCTGGGCTAGAAATTTCATAATTTCAACCTTGGCTATGCATTAGAATCACCGGAGGAGTTTAAAGAAAATACTGATGCCCAGGCCCCATACCAGACCAATTAAGTAATTAAGACAGAATCTCTGGGGGTGGGTCCCCCGTATTGGTACTTTCTGAAAGGACCCCTAGGCGATCGTAAAGTTCAGCCAGGGATTGTAAAGTACACGTCAGACTAGCTGACCCACCTCTCCAGGCACTTCTGATTCGGGTTCTAGGCCCAGGCTGTGAGATATGTTGTGTACATGCGTATTTACACCATGATTGTCAACCTGCTTTCACATTTCTGTTCCAGTTGACTATGTGTAAACTCTGGTCCCTCCCCAGGGTTCAGACTTTCTGACAAATGAGGTTATCATTCAAGACATGGGTTCTCTGCCTTTACACAGAAGGCAATTCTCAGCTCCGACCATGGAAGGAAAGAAAAGAAAGAGCTTCTTTCTGTCTGAGACTGAGCCGGGTAGGACCCACAGAGCAGCAGGCTCATTGTGTGCTTCAACTTGAGATTGAGTTGTTACTGAATAGGAAAAAAAAGGTGAGTTTAATAACAATATTTTTCACATAACTGGGCTGCAGTGACAGTGAATTCAATGAAATAAATAAAAATACTTCAAAAGGAAGCAAAACATTTTTTTCCTTGGTTGGATGCACTGTGTCTTTGGTATCTAATGATGCATAACAAATTACCTGAAAACTCAGTGGCTTAAAACAACAATAATTTATTCTCTCTCGAAGTTTCTATGGGTCAGGAATTCAGACGGAGCCCAGCAAGCACAGCTTTTCTCTGCTCCTACAGTATCTGTAACTTCAGCTGGAGGCTGGAATCATCTGAAGGCTTGTTTCACTCTCATGTCTGGCAGGCGCTACTGGCCATGGACTAGAACACCCACATGTGGCCTGGGCTTCCTCACAACATGGTGGCTGAATCCTGAGGGTAAGTGGGCCGAGAGTGAGGAAGACAGGCAGACTTCCTATTGTCTTTATGGCCTAGCCTAAGAAGTCAAGCAGTGTCATTTTTTTTTCATTTGTATTGGTTGAGGCACTTAACAAGATCCACTAAGGCTCAAGGGGAGGGAACATACACTCCATTTCCCTCTGAAGGAATCTCAACGTCATATTGTACGAAGAGCATGTGAGATGGCATATTAGTGCAGCTATCTTTGGAAAATACAATCTGCCCCACATTGATTGTCTTTTTAATTTTCTTACTCATTTCCCCCCATCCCAGACTCCCAAGTAACATATGTTCATTTTAAGAAACAAAGTCAATAAAAATTGAGAATTTATACACCAAAATGGGTTTCTTCTCCCATTTTACTCACTGTCTGAATCCCATTCCCTAGACATAACCACTACTAACAGATTGATGGGTATTTTTCTATACAAATGATATACAGACATAAATATATACTGCTTTTTAAAAAATGATAACACTACACATTATTCTGTGATTTGCTGTTTTTATTCATTGTTATTATATGATGAACAGAGTTCCATAGTATACATATGGAAACATCCAATTCTTTCTAATGCTGGCTGTCATAGTGTGGCTAACTTATTTAGCAGTCTTCTGTTGATGGACATTTTGGTTGTTATCCTTTATTTTTTAACTATTACAAACTAATGATGCAATGAACATCCTTATACTGGTCATATAGGGTGATATCTTAAAAATGGAAATATTTTGTTCAAAGGATATGCAGGATACTATTTTGAAACACAAGAGTGGGTTTAAGGTTAGTGTCATTGTTATAAATCTACATTAATAAGGATACACATTTTTTCTTTGCAAATGAGCAAAACATGCAAGAAAACATGTTTGTTCTTAGAAGATGCTTATAAGCTTTGAAGGGAACTTCTCATAGAAAACGATGGGTGGCAGGAAGTAGGTGGTTATGAAGAGAGGCGTGCATTTCCTTTTCTAATGTTTTTGACTCAGGCTGATATGGAATTGAATGTGGATTCTTCAAAGTTCACTGTGACGCTTAGAAGGTCATCAGAAGGTGATAGCAAACAAGAAACCAACTTGAGGCAAAAAAAAAAGTGTCATGTATGACCCAAAAGTAAATAAAAAAGATGACTGTGCTGGCCATACAGATGAACAAAAGGACAAATAGCCCTCTGTATCCACAGGTGCTGCTTTTGTGGATTCAACCAAACGTGGATCAAAAGTATTTGGGAAAAAATGGATGATTATGCCTGTATTGCACATGTACAAACTTTTTCTTGGCATTATGCCATACACAATATAGTATAACAACTATGTAGATAGTATTTACATTGGATTAGGTATTATAAGTAATCTAGGTATGATTTAAAGTACATGGGAGATGTGCACAGGTTACATGCAAATACTATGCCATTTTATATAAGGGACTTGAGCATCTGTGGATTTTGGTATCCACACAGGTGGATTCCAATAACAGGAACATCTCATCCTGTCCACCTATCTATCCTTTGTTCACAAATGGCTAATCTGTAATTTATTCTGGGGTCCTTCCCTCTTGCAGAGATGGGTTATTAAAAACTTCTTTGCCAGGAATGAAGTTCTGATACATGCTGCAACGTGGATGAACCTTGAGGACATTATGTTAAGTGAATTGAGCCCGGCACAAAAGGACAGATATTATATGATTCCACTTGTATAAAATATCTAAAATATGGACATTCATAGAGCTAGAAAGTAGATTAGAGGTGGGCTGGGAGTAGGAGAAACGGGGAGTTATTACTTAATGGATACAGGGCTTCTGTTTAGGGTGATGAAAGTTTTAGAACTAGATAGTGGTGATGGTTGTACAACATTGTGAATGTGATTAATGCCACTGAATTGTATGCCTAAAAATGGTTAAAAATAGCAAATTTTATATTTTATATCTACACACACACACACACACACAGCTTCTTTGCTGGGGCAGAAGAGAAAGGTTAGGGCTTTGTCAGTGTTCCCATGGCTTTGCCTTCCCTTTTGTTTTTAAAAGAACAACCTCTATTTTTAGGGATTTTCACACAAAGGCTTGTGGGTGTGGGAAGTACTCCCAGCTGCCCTCCTCTTTCTCAGAAGCCCACATGGAAGCCTAGCAAGTTATTTAAGGTTTAGGAAATATGCCAGATTGGAAATGGAGATAATTTAATCTCTCTGTATGTTAATTTAGTTTTTCCTCCAACTTGAGGCCCTGGAAACCTTACTTCACCCCTAGGGAAGGTGGTTCTGGGTCTCCGGGAAGGTGGTTAGGGTAACTCCCCCTTACGCAGCACGCCTGGGAGCGCTTTCTTGGCAAAAGCAGCTCTACTCCCTGAGAGTCTGGGGGTCACCTGGTCCAGCAGCCATTCGCCCTGGTGTGCAGGGTCTCAGTCTGCTTGTCCAGACGCTTCTCCTGCACCTGCCCGCGGGCTGCGGCCTTTCCCGCGCGGGCTTTCTCGCTCAGTGTTCCGCGTTGGGCAGCAATCCTTAGAAGGAGCTGCAGTGGGTGGGCCCCTGACGCTGGCTCCCTAATCCCGGGGCCGGGCACCTCAGCGGGTTGCATTGTGTGGGGGCAGCGGCAGCGGCTGGCCAGGTCGAGTCCGTGGGCTTGCGGACTCTGCCTCCTGTCATCCCCCCATGCCTGCCCTGCCTCCCCGCGTTAAGATTCTCGTCCCTTTCCCCGGGACCTGTCGGGGTCTGGGAGCGCCCAGCCTCCTGGGCGGCGGGAGGGGTGCAGGCCGACCCTCGGGGCGGGAGCGTCCGCAGCCTCTCCTGCTCCACCTGGTGGGTGCCGGCGTGGCGGGGCGCCGGAGCTGGGGCGGGAGCACCTCCTGCCCAGAGAGGGTCAGCCACGTGGCGACGGGGCGGGGACAGGGCGGGCCCTGCGCTGGGAGCTCGTGGTCCCGGAGCAGGTGAGGACGGAAGGGTTGGAGGGTGAGGGGGCAGAGGGGTCTCGGGGACCGTTCCTGTCCTCGGGAGGAGCTCTGGCCTGCATTAGGGGTCAGGCTTGGGGTCACCTTTGTCCCCACCCTGGCTCAGGCAGATCCTCCCCTCCGCTGGTCACCTGGCGCGCCCGCACTCCGAACGGCTGTCCCGAGGTCGGAGGCTTGGGAGGCGCGCGGGTCTGCCAGGGGCGCGGAGGGCCCGGCCCGCGCGGCGTCGGCGCTGGGGAAGGGCGGCCGAGCGGCTCTGAGGTCCCGCGGGCGGCTGCGGCAGGCGCAGCTCTGGGAGCGCGGGACTTACCCGGCCTTTCAGCCACCACCTGTCACCCGGCTTTTGGCAGGTCCTGCAGTCTCCCCAGCTTCTCTCCGGGCAAGCCCTGTTCCCCACCCCCTAGTTCTTTCTTCGAAGACCCCTCGGTGCGCTCTCTCGTCCCTGCCATCGCTGCTACTATCATGGGTCGTATTCCTCCCACATGACCATGAGCTCTGCCTCCTTTCCCCTTCCCTCTTCCTCCCCTTCCTCCTCCTCTTTCCAAAATGCCATGAGCCCATCCACGTTCCAGCACTATGCTGTAGACAGGGAGCACACAGATCAGACACAAGGTCCCTGCTGCTGCAGGGGGAGACTCTGCCGGTGGGCTCCAGACCTGGCCCTAACAATGATGCTCCCACCATGTTTTCTCACCCGCCCCCTTCACCCCTACACTTTTCTGTCCTGTTCCAGAGGGGTTCCCAAGACAGCCCCTAATCTCCCCTCTCCCCTCTGCTCATGTCCAGTTGACATTCACTCACCGTCTGCAGCCAGTTCTCCTGAGCCAAGGGGGCCCTTGTGGGGATCAAGGGGTCCGGGAGGCACGCAAGGGTGGGACAGGAGTGTAAACTGTGTCCTCAGGGCTGGCCAGCTGGCTGTGACCCTCACACACTGAAGGAGTTCAGGAAGAAAGCGAGCTGGGAGCGGCTGTGGCTCAGGACAACAAGATGTGAGCGCAGGTGGGCTTGGAGGAATGAACATCTATTTGTGTACCAAAGAGGTGACCAGGATGAGTTTCTAGATGAAGTAGACAAGGTCCCTTCCTCACCAGGGCCTTGCCTGATGTAGAGGAATGTGGACAGTGAGGAGAGAAGAACAGAGGAGACAGCCTGACTGAGGGTTCTGTTTGCCTTCCAGAGGGGTCTCCCCACCCTCCCAGACCACCAGGACTCTGTTTGCACAAGCCTGGACCAGATGTCTCAGGTGCAGGAACTCTTCCACGAGGCAGCTCAGCAGGTAGGCTGGGAGATGTGGGGGACTGGGGTGAGACCCATGACAAGGGATCACCAGGCAGGGAGCTAAGTAGAAGGAAACATTATAGTGTGCTATTTAAAATAATCTCTGAACTTTAGTTTGGTATTCCAGTTTAATTGAGAAAACATTATAACCAACTCTTAACCATTTGTGTACAGAAAATCTTTGACATTATTTGCGATGGATTTTGAATCTTAGGCTTCCCTCCACCCACCATGCCATCATTGGAGGTCTCCATCAACAGAGTGAGGACCCAGATAACATAAACTCTTTTTAATACTGAATCAAACCAATGTAAGAAGGTGAATTTATTTCTGAAAAACTCATATGTACTGAAGCCAGATGGATTTCTGGATTCCCTGATGTTTGCCAGATTTTTTTTTTCTTTTTCTTTTTCTTTATCCTCTCCCTACTGATCGTTAGTGATAGTAAATATTCAACGTGTAGGCAAGCAATTGAGGTGGATTGCCCCAGAAAGAGAGTTGATTCCTTAAGAAACAAAAGACTGTACTTAGGTGTTATCAGAAAACTAATTGTGCCCAGGGTCTTTGCCTTCAACTTGCAATTTCACTGCCCCTTGGATTTCCCTCCTGCTTTGCAGAGAGGGGCAGGGGCATTGGCCGGCATTATGTAATAACAGGGTGAGTGAGCCCCTCACGAGAGGAGGGAACCAACTCCAGTAGCAAGAGAGCTGGGTCCAGAAGTGTCTTGAGCCAAGGGGCAGAAGAGGGTGAGGAAGTTGAGGTCCAAGCTTGGAGAGGGAATCCAAAATGGCTAGTTACCCCCTTTTTATGCACACAGGAAACATGTGTAAAATGCAGCACAGCGGCTGACAGGTGTTAAGTGCTCTATAAAAAGTACTGGCCGCCTTTACCCCGCTGGCCCAGGCCCAGGGCCACGTTCCTGCCCCTCAGTCCTTAGCCTCTCACACCCAGCCCTGGAAGGATTCAGGCTGCTTAGACATGAATGGCTGGAAACTCAGAATAGCTCCTCAGAGATATTTCAGAACTCTTTCCCAGAGCTGCTCGTTCCCAGGTGTCACGGCCTGGGACCTTCAGATCTAGGTTTGTCAGGGGTCTCACGTTTAGTTGGAGCAGTCTCTTGCTTGCTTCCCATGTGTTTTGTTTGCGTGTGTGAGACTGTACCTGGGTGTTTGTGCTCTCAGCATTTATTTGCGCACTACTCCTAAATAGTGGGCACGGCGTTAAGCATGAAAAAGAAACCCAGGTGGAAAATGTGAGGCCCCAGGGATTCCGCAAGGAGAGACAAGTAAGACATTCTGGGTTCTCTGTGAGAAGAATCTGTGCCTCTCCCCTGTTTAAACCTTCAGTGGCCCCTCATGTCCGCCACCCAGGTTCAAACTCTCTCTCGCCTCGGCCCCGTTCGGTCTCACCCCGCCTGAGTGTCGAGTCTGGTTCCTTCATCTTCCTCCTCCTGGCACGACTTCCAGCCAAACCCCACCGTTCCCCAGGGCTTGTCCTTCCCTGGGCTTTGCTGATACTTCTCACTCGACTGATGCGTCACTGAAACCCTCCCAGTAGCTAAGGCAGTGCCTGGCATTTAAGTGGCATTCAGTGGACTGACCACATGAACAGACAGTAGGTAGCTCCAGCGCAAGTCAAATTGGCTGAAGTGGCCTAAGAGAGTTAACTTTTAAAATGTAACGCATACAAAGGCCTCTGTGTCACCTCCTTTTCTCTCAACATCTGAACACTGAGGGATTGGACAATGTCCACTGCCAAGTGGCAAGGCCTTCGGTGTCACTATCTAGGCACATTTGGGGTCCATCCATGTCTCTCTCTCCCTGCAGTTTCTGGTCAGGGGTGCCTTTTCTTGATTGCATTATTCATACCCTCCTAACTTCTTTCTTCACATTGCTACTATGATTCTTTTATAAAGCAAAAAACCTGCTCTGCTTAAAGCCCTTCCATAGCTTCTCATCACCTTCAGAATTCAGTTCAAACTCCTCTTCTTGGTCCCCAAGGCCCTCTGTGACCTGGCCAACCTCTCCCCCGCCTGCAGCACCCTGCACCACTGCACTCGCCATGTGGCACTGACAGGAGCTGTTTCCTTCCCATCTCCGTCAGGGCTGTGAACTCCTTCAGTTCAGGGGCACGTCTGGTTTATTTTTGTATCCCCGATACCTGGCAGCGTGCTTGGTATATAGAACATGCTCAAAGGATGTTGGTCTTGCTGAACTGAACTTGCCTGGCTAGGGGTGGGGGTGGGGGGCTGCCATTTGCATTAAGTCTTTAAGCGTTGGTGGAAGTGGGACATATGGTGAACTTGGGACTCATGTCCCAGGTGGGAGGGTAAGAAAATGATAATAGCTGTCAATAGTAGGCACTTACTGTATGCTGAGCACTTAATCTGCATCACCTCATGTAATCTTCAGAGCAACATTCTGAGGTAGATATGATTACTTTGGTTTGATAGATGAACTGGAGCACCTTGAACCCAGGCGTGTTTGATGCCGAGGCCTGAGCTTTAATGCTTTTTGCTATATGCCTCCTGCTCCAAGGGCACAAGCAAAGCCACCCAGATGGCAAGTCAAGGGCCCCTGTGGGAGGACAGAGGGTATGTTGGGGGACTCATGTGTTTGAAGCTGAACTCGAGGAGTAGCTTACCCTTAAGAAATTTCCTGTGAACCTTTTTTTACCTTTACTCCAGTCTTAGGGTGTCAGCAATTCTGCTAAGAGCTTTGAGGTCCATAGAACACGGGATTAAGTAAGCAGTGCCCAGTGGGAAGACAGGCTAGTGGGTGTCATGCCAAACCCTGCAGTCTTGATCTGCTCTTCTCTTGGTCACTGTGACTGGAAAGTAGCTCACAGGAAGTCTGGCAGGAGTGGAGATGCTTGTAGGTTAGGTGGAGAGGTGAGCAAATGATTCTTGGTTTAGTTTTAATCATTTTTGAACCAGTTGGGGTAACCCTCTGTGTGTGTGTGTGTGTGTGTGTGTGTGTGTGTGTGTGTGTGTAGGTTGGTCAGTAATAAGTGGATGAGCTCAGAAGGGGCTGAGGGTTAATGGTGTGGTGGTCAACGGTACACGTGTACATGTGTTGCCTGGGTTCAAGTACTGGCTCTGACACTTTGTGACCTTGAGCAAGTCACTTAGCCTTGCTAAGCCTCCATTTCCTCACCTATAAAGTAGCTACCCAATGATTGAACTTGCCCTAGAGAATTTAAAAGATTAAAAGAGATGTTAATAATTCTTGTAAATATTTAGTATCATGCTTGCTTGGTTCATGGTAAGAATTCAGTAAATGTTGGCTAATAATAAAACTAGGTGGGGACTATGTATTTAGCCCACGGGGTAGACGTATAGGGAATCAGAAGGATCAGTTGGCAAATAAATGCGTGACTCAGCACAGGAAGTCAGGCAGAAGAGCCAAGGCAGGAGTCTCAAATTCAGACTCACAGCACTGGCCAACAGCAGAGTGGGGGACATTGTTCCGGGGAAGCTGCTGGGTGGACAGTCCATCAAGCAGCATGGACTCTTTGTGGGCCTAGGCAGGTCTGGAGTGTGCATTTAAGGACCTACTGAACTGCTGGCCAGCCGGGTCTTATTCCAGGAGCCTCTGCCCCAAGGCACTTTGTTAAGTGTGGTTTGATAGTAGATTTGAATTTGGGAACCCGGGTCCCAAATTCTGACTGTGCCACTAGATAGGCTGGACCCTTGGGCAAGTAACTCAAAGGCTCCCAGGGTGTTTCCACCACTGTGAGATGGGGTGAGTGTACCTGATTTTCAGGGGTTTTATGAGCTTAAATGAGATACCATATGTGGAAGGGTCTGGCCCAGTGCCTATCTCCTGATGAGCACTAAACGAAATGCATGTTCAGTGATTAGGGGAAGCAAACTTCACAGCGAAACCCAGTGGAGTGGGCTGTTTGTGACACCTGGGGCTGGAGACTAAGGAGCAGCTGGTGCCAGAAGGCGGCGACTGGAGGCTAACGGGCCTCGGATGCGTGCTTGGATCTTCCAGGTACTGGACAGAGAGGCCTTTAGCCAACATGGTGGTTCATGAAGATCAAGCTATCTGCAGGAGAAAGCAGAGAGCTTCAGACAGGAAGAATCAGCAAGTAGACAAGCTGTGTGAGGTCTGAAGTCCAGCACAGTCAAATGCTTTTAGCATTGGGAACAGGGAGGAAATTCAGTTCCGTTTACCAGGTATCTATGGAGTGCCTGTTCTTGCCTGAAGATATTAAAGCAAACATGAAAAGAAGAGAAATCTCTTCGTTCTTATGGAATAAAGGATGCCTCTAGCTAATCTGAGGCTTCCGTCTCCCTTCTCTCAGGGTTGGATGGTCTCAAGAGAAACTTAAAAGGGAAGCTGTGTCATGTGGTGGCATGAGAACGAGCCACCAAAAGCTGCAGATTAACTAGTACACACGAAGTAACTAGTACACATGATGCGAGCTCTTTCTTCAGAGACTTGCGCTGCAGCAGTAGTGGGCGCAATGAAGACCTTTTTCTAGGAGGTCTGTGGGCCAATGTCTGGCTGGCCTGAGCGAATCACCCCTAGGAAAAAGCCACTGCAGACCCAGGGAGCAGGCGGCCCACCAGCACTGTGGCGTGTGGCCCAAGTGTAGGAGGAGGTGTTTCCAGGTCCCGAGGCCAGCCTGGGTGCAGGGTGTGACCTGCTCCTTGTCTGTCTGCACAGTGTCCCAGCACTGCTTGGCTTCCTGCCCTTCCCTTCTCTGTCCTCTCCTCCTTTGCTCTTTTTCTCTCTCTTTTCCTCCTCAATTCAGTGGCTTACCCAAGTCAGCCTCGGGGTAAGAGAAAGAGTCCCATCAAGTTTTGGGGCAATAGTGACAAGGGAATTAGCACCAGCAAGAGAGGCAGATAGAACCAAACCTGCCAAGAGATAGAGGGGACCTCAGGGATCCTGTGGCCCAGGCCCCTTGCTCAGCGCGTCAGGGAACAAGCCCAGAGACCTGATCTCCCACAGTAGTGGGTCCATGAGGACCCAAGTGTTGAATGAC